GCCTTTCGTAAAGCAATTGCCGTTCCACCATTGTCGTTCACGTCCAAGAGCGTTTTACTGCTATCTCATGTGGTATTTTTCCTGGATTCTGGTAAACTATAACATCTTTTTTAGCTCAACTCGCACGCTGTGCATTCAGGTTAATTCGGTTCGCTCGCCTGTTTTTAGTTTTATGAAGGACAATGCGTTCTACTTAACAATTGCGTCTTTAAATCATGGTGTCCGAACAAAGGGGGGGAAACCTTTCCGTGCGTCTTTGATCTTTCTATCCTGGTCTATCCACAAAGATTCATTCCCCTTCCTTAAATTCGCGCGTCCTTAAACATGTTCATATTCCTCTAAGTAATTTCGTTGCCAACAATCAAATTCTCACTGGGCTGACGCAGTGCCCTCTTTTTTGGCGCAGGAAAAAACTGCTTTAATGCACCAAGTTAGTCGTGGTTCTTTGCAAAGCCAGCCCTGCCCCTTTGTCAGGCGCGAATTTCAGGTCAAATGGTAGATGCCTGACGAACCTAATTAAAGTCTTTTTTGGACTGAGATGAAACCGCTACTCTCCGGTCTTTCCAATTTTCTCATTTTTAAACTGGCCTGAGCTATGCGTTTCATTATCACTATAATCTACGTTGTGAACATGCTCTGAGGCAATCGAACTGTCGTAAACCAGCTGTATTTCTGGTTCCTGTTAATTTGTTTGCCAAGTTTGGCTTCCCAAGTCAATTAAACCCAAGTCCATTATAATGTGGACTATAGTCTTTGGAGTCCAGAATTTGACCAATTAATAGTTCGTAGAACTCGTCAGCGACCACTCCTGCCTGCCTCCCTCGTTTCTGTCTGGGGCAAGATTGCGGAAGAAAGCCAAGCTTGTACGCATCGCCCCTTGCCTTCGTGATTTGATGAATTTTTTTCCTTTTTGTCTGCCCTAGGATCCCTATTACATGGGCATTCGTCACAATCGTATCAGGGATTCACGATACGATGAGTTGCTGGACAATTTCATGCGAGCGGTTGTCCGAAGGTGGGATTTCCTTCTATAATGCTGAAGTAGTAATTTTGCTGATTTCGGTTCATGTTTTCGTGTTCTGAGTATTATAAATTTCTAGCTTTGTTTCTTCAAAAATTATCCTCACAGTTAACGCCATTTATGTTTTCTTCTCCCCTGCGGCGCAGGCCATCTTTTTGTCGACCAACTGAAAACGCATAGTTGTTTAGCTTTTTTAAGTGTTGTATCGTGCCCTCCAGACGTCGTCTTTTGTCACCAATTGGTCGGTTGTGGTCAGTTATCCTTGCTTGTTGGACCTTACAAATCAGGTGGCTATATGCTTTGCGTTTACGCGCTGATTGACTTACCATGCCTGTCACCAGTGTTG